TTTGGGGTTCAGGGTTTAGGGGTTCCCCTTTCAGGACTCCTTTAAGAAGTTTCGGAAAGGGTTCCTTTTTTGGGTTAAGGGGACTATACAGCCTTTTGAGACCCTTCTCGGGTTGTTTTAGGGGGTACCGGCCTCCCTTGTATACTGAAAAGAGTGAGGCTTGGGGGCACCCTGTACCCTCGGCCAAATGCCTTTGACAATGAGACATTCTGATGACCTAGACCGTAAGAGGGGTTGGGTTTTCGGGATTTGGTACTTAGGTTGGTTTGGGGCTTAGGGGCTTAGGGGCTTAGTCTCTGGGCTTTGAATCAAGATATGGCGCCAATCTCTTCAGAGGGGCCTAGCGGTTTCTTGTAAAGGGTTCTTGACCAGATTTTGGAGTGCGTTGTGGGATCCAGCTCGGGCTTAAGCCCGTTGGGTCCTGGGTCCCTACCAACCAGCCCATCTAGGCTCAGCTCTTTCGGCCCAGAATGTATCCTATGTCAGAGTACCAGGACGGCTAGGACTCCACAGCCAAAGAAGCCCTTCTTTTGCTAAGGTTCTGCTCCGGCTTCTTCGTGCTGGGGGCCTACATCGCCTTCCAGGCGATGCCTGGGGCCAGGTTTCCAGAGCTTCGGAAGGAGTCGCCGTTAGGTTGAAAAGAGGGTCTCGTGAGGTTTCAGGAATTTAGGGTTAGTGCAGGGGAAGAGCAGACGTGGTTGCCATGTACTTGTTGCTAGGTGGCGATGCGGAGCCGGAGCATTCGGCAGTGATCCTAGGTCTCAAACTGTGGGGATTCCGGGAAGCCAGCTGTGGTGTAGGGTTTAAATTAGAGTTGTCAATGGATCTACCATGATCCACCCACGCATTTTGAATCCTGCAGGTGCTGCAATACTGCGGAAGAAGCAGTCGTTGGTGCAAGACAGCCAGACGACCCCAAGAATGGTTTTCAGCCCCCGGATTTGTTGTTTCAATCAGTGGGTCAGAAAATCTTCAGCACCCTGAAGCGCCAAATCCACAAACGAAGCACTCCAGCAGGTGAGCAGTGGCAGCGTGGCGGCCTCCGTTGCTTGGGCCGTCTTTGCATTCGGCAGCTCGGTGCTTGGTCAAGTTCAAGCGTCGAGGTTTCGCATGTCGGGTTTCAAGGTTGAGGGGTTTTTGTCAGCCAGGGTTACGGATTTAGGAATGGGAAGCTTGATTGTTGGCTCAGCCATATGGAACATCGGCGAATTCGTTCTGAAGGGCTCTATTTATTGATTGTTTTCATGAGGAGGCCAAAACTTGAAGCTCGATTATGGCAACTTAATCAAGACTTAGAAGAAGCTCCTGAACAAGGACCCAGCAAAGCTCCGAAACTCCGTGAAGCTTCTGAAACCGGGTTCCCGAAGCAGAGGCACCCTTGCTTTGGCTTCGGGGTGAGTCCCGATGCCCAAGGAATGGTACAGCTCTTCGACTGCCTTCCTTGCAACCGGAGCAAGACAGAGGGCGAGGAGTGAAGCTCAAGAGGAGAGGGCTTCGGAAACTTAAGGTAGAAGCCTGAGGAATTTAGAAAGGACGCCTGGTCGGTTGAGAGTTGAGGGTTGAGAGTGCCTAGAAGTAGCATTCAAGGGTATGCCCCAGCTATTCAGTCTTTTTCCTACCTGTGGGGGTGGGGCAGCATAGTTTTGACGAAGCCCGAGGCCCTGAACACCAGCCAGCATTGGGTTCGGATACTCCAAACATCCAGGGCACGTCAATACAGCCTGAATGCCTAGTAATCGGGATCTAGAGCAAGGTATTTCTTACGGGTACGTTGCAGACCGGGTAAGTCCTTGCGTTTCAGGCTTCTCAACGGCTTGCAAGTGCATTTGGCTCCCAAGCTTGCGTGAGGGACAACCTGCTCGCGCCGAATGGCGCGCTAGCGGCCCCGCACGCGTACAGTCTCTCACGAGCTTTTCGCAAAAAATCCTCCGTGTCCCAGGGATCCCCACAGTCTTCTACACCCTACACCGTTAAATGCCTATATAGATATACATGTTAGTTGCAATGGATCTAGAAATAATGATGCGGTGCACGACAATCGGGAATTTTCGACATGGCTCGTTGTTTTGAAAAAGACAGCCCAAAGCACAGCCAAGACCTCTTGCATTGAGTTCAGAGGCTTGGGTCTTTTGGGTAGGTTTCTGGAAGCAGGAGTACCCAACCCTAAATCCTAAAGCTCTACATCCTAAGCCAGTATTGCATATGGAGCCATTGGGTATCGAGAATACAGACAGGAGACGGATTGTCCTGAGCTTTGCAGCCTCAAGCCCATAAAGCCCCTGATCCTTCTTTGACCCTCAGCCAAAACCCAAACTCTGAACCTGGAGCCGTTCGAGTCTAATCCCTCAACCCCAGACCTAAAGCCCTGAACTATAAACCCCAAGCCCTAAACCTCAAACCGTCTAAGTCTGATCCCTCAACCCCAAGCCTAAAACCCTGAACTACAAACCCCAAGCCCAAAACGCGGGGTTAGTCGGGAGGCTTCCGCGGACCGAGAAAGGAGCGTTGAAAAACAAGCCCAAACCCTAAACCCAGACCCCAAAACCCTAAACCCTGTTTAAACCCTGAACCCTAAACCCCTAAACACCTAAACCCCTAAACCCTAAACCCATCTCGAGCATCTCCCGCTTCCAAGCTTTGCACGGCCAGAAATCTCGAAGCCACTTCGGGGGGGCAAAGGGCACCTGGGGTGTTCACTAGGCATCATGTGCTTTTAGAGATTTTTGGGGGTGTAGGGGTTTAGGGTTTTAGAGATTTTGGGGGGTGCAGGGGTTTAGGGTTGGGAGTTTAGGGTGTTAGGGTGTAGGGGTTTAGGGTGTTCTGAGCCCGTAGAGTCACGTCGGGTTTAGGGGGCGTTAGATTTAGGGCGCAGGGATTAGGATTGGGAGTTCTTTCGGGCGGATATTTATGGCCCGGGGTCTGGGGCTGAGGGTGTCGGATGAATTCAACACCCTTGCCTGAACTCAAGGACTCTTGCGGATTGAGTGTCGCCAGGTTGAGGGTTCGGGTTTGGGGGGCAAGAGCCTCAGGCCTTGTAAGGATTTAGAGTTTCGAGGTTGGAATGAAGTGCAGCAGAGAAAGCAGCTGTAGCAGCAAGAAGTGCTGCTCTAGGCACAGCAGCGGTAACTTTGTAGAAGTGACTGTGGTAACAGGCATCACCAGCAAGCATGATCTTGAAAACGGGGATGACCACCTGGCTGATTCTGGGGATCATGATGGTCACTTTTCTTGTGGATCACAGCATTGTGAGAATACAAGTGTCCGGATCCCTAGAGCCTAAACCCAAAGCTAGTCTTTGCTTGACTTGACGTGCTAGCCCCAGGTCCAATGCAGACGTTCAAACAAAAAACAACTTTTGACTCGCTGGCAGCGTAAAGGAGCTTTCCTAGCCAGCAGCTTGTATCTTTGGCACATTGAGAAAAAGATGTCCGCTCAAAGATACCCAAGCCAAACCCGCCCAAACCCATCCAAACTGACCGAAAACCACCCAAACCCACCGAAACCCGCCAACAGCACCCGGTAGCCCTCAACAGTGAAGCCTAAGCCCCCAAGAACCCATTCCTCGGTCCGAAGAAGGAGATCGCTTCTCAGCGAGTTTGGCTTTGAGTCCAAAGCCTTCGGATTTCAAAGGGGTGTAGGGTTCAGGGTTTTGGGTCCTGGATGGCGTTTTCCGACTGAGCACTTGACCAACTTATTTGTCCCAACCAAGCCTAGCCCTTACTAAGCCGTAAACCTTCAACCCCAAAACCCTACACCCCAAATCCCCAGACCCCCAAAGCCCTCAAAACTAAACCCCAGCCCCAGACCCTGCCCTAAATTCAAGGCCTAAATACAGGCCCGAAGCCTTCCAAGCTCATGCAACAGATGTATGATGAACCCATTCTTGAACTTGTGTTTAGGGTTAGATCCCTATATGCGAACCCTATTCTAATCCCCTAAACCCTAAACCCTAAACCCTAAACCCTAAACCCTAAACCCTAAACCCTAAACCCTAAACCCTAATTAAGGTCATGCAACATGTCTACGTGGCTCGTCATCTCTTCCCTTTGTGGCAGCAGAGAGAAGGCCAGAAAAACTAGGAACAAAGGGTTTAGGGTTTAGGGTTTAGAGGTTCCTTCAAGGGGTCCTTTAAGGGTTCTTAAGGGGGGCTAGGGTTTGGGGTTTCAGATTTTGGGGGGTTTCGGGTTCAGCGTTTTGGGGTTTAGGTTTCGGAGTTTTGGTGAAGTTTACCGCCACCCTGAATTTTGCTCTTCACTCTGGGCCCTTCCAAGATGTTGGCTTTGGGGTTTTGGCTCTAGCATGTTGCTTCCGAACCTTCGTTCGGCTTTATACAGTTTAGGTTTAGGCCTTTGGGATTTGCGTGCCCCACTCTGCTGCCAGGTGAGAAGTACTTCGTCATCACAGCCTCTGCAGCGGGTCTCCTGACGCAGGTGTGCGTTGGGATCTTGGATTTTGTCAGGTCCGTGGTTCCTAAGCCCGAGGCCGGGGATGTGCCGGCAACTAGAGATGGAGGTCGGAGCAACTACATAGTTCATGGTTCCCTATATACATAAAAAGCCTAACTACTCTGATTATCACGGCCGCTTGTTGCCGCTTCAAGGGCCCTCGGTAGCCATGGAGTCCTAGCACTGATTTTGTCTCAAGACCCTGTCGTTTTGGGTTTGGGGTTTAGGTTTGAGGGTTTGTCAAGGGTTTGTTTAGGGTTCTGGCTTTGGGTGTAGGCCCTATAAGCCCTAAACCCGAAACCCGAAACCCAAGTGTAGTTTGGGGCCCTGGACCCTCCACCAGCTTCTTACAGCTTTCCATGACGGTGCCGCGGTCCAGACGGAGAGACTGCCTAGTTTGGAAATTTGCGCAGACCCTAAATTCACTAAACCCTACACCCTAAAACCCTAAACCCCAAAACGGGTCGTACGCTTAGGGCTTTAGAGTTCAAGCAGAGAGGGTGAGAATTAGGAAGCCTTCAGAATCGCTTCATGTAAAGCTGGTCAACTCGAAAAGACCTTAATTACTCGAACAGGGTTCCGAGTCAATCACTATGGTAATTATTTCGGCTTGTACATTAAACCTTGCCGGTTATGATGCGCTGAAAAAAGTCAGCAATCGCAGGTGGGCTCTCTGCCCTACAGTGTGACCAAGCATGCCGCCGTGTCGATAGCCGAGTGGTCCTGGGCTCAGGAAGTGCACGAAACCACAAGAACACCTCCCTAAAACCTAAACCCTTGTAACGCCGCAGTAGCAGAAGCTGCAAGCAGAGCAGTGCTGGAGCTGTTTCTGGCCCGGAATCTGGGAATGTCTGCTGGGTCAACTCACATTGATGTGAATTACGGTGAGAAATTAAGATAATTTAGTATGATTCATATGATATTACCGAATAGTTTGGAATATGTCTATGCAGTGATTGATGGTTTAAACAAGCTTGCAAGTTCTTGCTAGCCTGGTATCTTGGAGATTGCGAGTTCGATTTCTTGTTTCCACTCGAAAGCCTGCCAGGTCTTAAGCTAACTACAGCAGCCCTAAGGCGTTCAGCCCGAAAAAACAGCAAACCCTCAGGCCCCTATGCCCTAAACTGCTAAGACCAATGAGTGGTGCTCCGGAGCCATTGGTCTACACTTGTTGGTTCAGTTTGAGATGTGTGGAGCCTTTAGATCCTTTCGGAGGGTCGTAAAAGTCTCAGTATATGGCTTTGCAGCGACGTCCTACAGGCATCCCTACGCAGACCCCTGCACTTCTAGAGTGCATAATATTGAAGCTTAAACATTTGCCAATACTATTCGGGAGTTCCTTTGATAGTTAGAGTATAATATACCCCAGAACCCTGTTCTAATTATTAAGGCGCCTATCTTATACCAAGCCAAGTAGGAGCAGCCGAGCGATAGAGAAGCTCGCCGGTGTTTCTTCTGTGCTGGTTCAGTGGGTATTTGTCGGAGGTCGCATCTGACATGCGCGATCATGAAGCTGTCCCCGTCCACTTTGGTATCAGCATCTTGTCGAAAACCCCCAAGTCCAACGAGCTGCATTAAAATCGGGCTTGGGGCAGATTCTTTGCTGACTTTAACCCCGAAAGCCATTGTCAGGTACCGCATCACGTATGCCGACGTCGGCATTCGGGTACACTGCTTATGCCCACAGGCACCTTGCCCAGATTCCCAGCAGGAGGACTCATTTCCCGAGTTCTTTGGCAGCAAGGTGCAGGATGTACGAACTAATGTAGGAACCTGATTAAGGAACCCTGGCCCTATACCAAATATATCAGGGTTCATATTAAGAACCCTAATAAAGAACCAGGGTTTCTTAATCAGGTTCCGATATTAGTGCTGTGGAGCGGCCGCGGACATAGAGACATTCGCTACAGCCACCACGTAGAACCAACAGCCTTGCCTCTCTTCTTGTCAAAACCCTCATCCCAGAGAAACTGTGGAGCACCCTCAACCCTAAACCCTAGACCCATGAACTTAAAACCCTAAATCCGAAA